CTTTCACTTACGAAGCTTAGTTTGGCTGGAAATAAAATTATGTGGTGAGGATTCTTTCCTTTAGGAATTTTTAATATTGGCCATTACTCTCTTCTGGTTTGTAGGGTTTCTGCTGAGAGGTCCTGTGTTAGTCTGATGAGCTTGCTTTTGTAGGTGACCTGACCTTTCTCTCTTTATACCCTTAATATTTTTTCCTTCATTTTGACCTTGATGATTATATGTTTTGGGGTTGATCTTCTTGTGGAAAGTCTTACTGGGATTCTCTGTATTTCCTGAATTTGAATCTTAACCTGTCTTGCTAGGTTGGGGAAGTTCTCCTGGATGTTATCCTAAAGTGTGATTTTCAACTTGGTTCCATTCTTACTGTTCCTTTTAGGTACTCCAATCAGTCATAGGTTCAGTCTTTTGCATAGTCACATAGTTCTCAGAGGTTTTGTTCATTCCTTTTTACTCTTTTTTCTCTATTCCTGTCTGTCTTTCTTATTTCAGCAAGATAACCTTCAAGCTCTAATATCCTCTCATCTTCTTGATTGATTGGGGTTGCATTACGAGTCTTGTGCTGTGTTTTTCAGCTCCATCAGTTCATTTGTGTTTGTCTCTAAACTGGTTATTCTAGTTAGCAGCTCCTGCAATCTTTTATCGTTGTTCTTAGCTTAGTGAGGTTTGTTATTACCCACATCCTGAAGCCTACTTCTGTCAATTCATTTATCACATCCTCTGTCTAGTTTTGCATTCTTGCTGGAGAGGTGTTGTGATCATTTGGAGGAGAAGAGGCACTCTGGCCTTTTGAGTTTTCCGCATTTTTTCACTGATTCTTTCTCATGTTCATGAGTTGATCTAATTTTGGTCTTTGAGGTTGCTGACCTTGGATTAGGTTTTTGTGGGGATTTTTTGTTGATGCTGTTGTTTTCAGAGTTTGGCTTTCTTTCAATAGTCAGGTCTCCCTTCTGCAGGGCTGCTGCAGTTTTCTGGGGGTTCAATTCAGGCCCTATTCACCTGGGTTCCTCCCTCATCTGGAGAGGTCACTTAGGGAGGCTGGAGAACAGCAAAGCTGGACACATGTTTTTCCTCTGGGATCTCTAACTCAAGGAGAACTGAGTTGATGCCAGTAGAATGTTCCTATATAAGGTGTCTAGTGACCCCTATTTGGGGTCTCACTATGTTGGGGAGCACAGGATCCAGGACCTGTTTAATGAAGCACTTTGACTGTTCTTTGCTGCAGGGGATGTTCTTCACTGGAAGGAAACCCACTTGTCTGGGCTGCCTGGATTCCTCAGAGCTATCAGAGGTAAAGACTAAGTCTTCTGGTCCATGAAGACCATGGCCACCTCTCCCCCTGGGGCTCAGGCCCATGGAGATCAGAGTTTTGTCTTTAAGCCCCTGGCTGGAGTTGCTGGAGTTCCTGCAGAGAGGCCCTGCTCAGTGAGGAGAGATGGCTCAGGGTCTGGCCTAAAGGGGCAGCCTGGCCTTGATCTGCTACAGCCAGTGTGCTGCACTTTGGGGAATACCTCTTAAGACTGATCAAGCCATTCAGTATCCCCAGCACCAACAGAAAAAAAAATAAATAACTGATTTAGAGCTACAGTAATGGCTGCAACCCAACCTCCCCCCACACCCTGCCCCACACTGCTGTGTTCATCGTCTTAGGCAGCTTGCAAAGCTATAACTTGCAGTGAATGCCGAAAATAAAGTACTCAGACAATTCCAGGTGAACGGAGTAAGGGGGTAGCTCCTCGGAGAGAGTCTGCATCAGCATCCGTCCACAAAGTATTTATTGAAAGGGCTACAAACGTCAACTAGATGGTCATATGAGGTGAGTTGCTAAAGCACCTGTGACCTTGTGCACACTCAAACTGCATTCTCAGGAGGCTGTTTTCAGCATTCCTTATCACACCACACACTCCACTCTCTGTCGTGTTTTCAGGGTCAAGGAGTTTCATTCCCATGCACAAATAACATACACACATTGCCTCAGTATTTTTCCATGCCCCAACCTCAGATGCCTTGTACATAAACTTAAATGTGTTGCTGTGCACCCCCCACATCTGCTTATTTAATTCTTAGAGCATGCTGGTCATCTAATGCAAGATAAGCTTCTAGTGTTCTTCCCTGGTTGTAGATGTGTCAGGTGGCAGCACAGAGCCATCTGTAGATGCCTAGCAAACAAATACTAAAAAGAATGTAAGTATAGTGGCCAATCACCCAAATGCATACATTTAATTCAGACAACCAAGTGTTTGGGTTTAACCATTGAAGGGCGTCTTGTAATTGCTGAAGGATACTTGTTTGCAATTGCTGTGACCATTCTTCAAGTTATTTCTTTAATTCACGCACAAAAGTGGAAATTTGAGAGGACAAATGGTCGTGATAAGCCCCTTGCAGATATGCTTTTCTAAATAACTGCAAGATGCAATCTCCTTCCCAGTTCCAGGTTAAATTTCCAGGCAGCCACACTTCTGCTCACTGTATTAAGATCATGACATAGATTATATTTAACTATATAATATTTTGATGAGACAAGGATGAAGCATACCAGCTACTGGAAGAGACTTTAATACTACAAAAGGATTGATTCTGCTCTATGATAGGAACACCTTGCCCAACAGGAGTATATAAGGGTGCATAGTACAAATCAAGATTGTATCAGTAACATTATTCTGTAAAGAAAGGGTATGGTTGCCACCACTAGTAATGTACTCATCATGTGAAAAAACCCTTTCAAAAAAGGGAAGTCCTACTCTCCAGCTTTGGGTATAAGCAGGGCTTAAATCTTGTTTCCTTTTAGTTATAGTATTGATCCTGAAAACTCGTTCTCTGACCAGGTGATAGAACTATTGGAGGGACTCCCAAATCCAATAGTCTGATTTGCAGACATAAGATAACCATGGGGGCCCCAATCAAGTAAGGTCCAGTTATCAAACAGAGGCCCATAGCATGGTAGAGTTTGCCTGCATGGAGACCACTGGACAGCCTCAAACGTATATTGCCAGTCCCTACTCAGATGGCATATAGGAAGATCAGGCACTTGCGTAGCTTCATTAGAGACCTCAGGAAGATTAGTGGTAACAGCAGAAATAAAAGTCAGGTTTGCAAGCTTAGCATCCCTTTTGGGCTGATAGTAAAGATACTCCTGAGGAATGAAAGTAACATGCTTATGTGCGTTGTGGAAAAACAAAGGGGGATTACTAGACAATAAAGTCAAGGAGTTATTAAGTTTAATTCATCTCAAATTTTCAGTTAAGGGGTAAGACATGGGCATCCATTGACCTTCTATGCAAGAAGTATCATTAGAAGACAAAGGCAGGTCAGCATCCCACCATGTAATAACATTACAAACGGGGATTTAGAACATGACTCCAATAAACATGTTCTTGAGCCGATCCCACTTGGCAAAGGACAAGAATTACCAGCCACCCTAACATCCATGTCTATCTTGCTTTCTCAGAAGTTTCCCCAGTTACAGCCAGATATATAAGAAACCAGTTCTCTGCAGTTGCAGGGGCTTTGATGGTGGCAAGCCAGATGGTTGCTTGTTGATTCAATTTCTTTAGCTGTCCTCAAGTAATGTCAGGTGTCTTCCAAGTCATCACCATTATTGCTGGTCGATTCTCCAAGGACAGGTCCTGTTCTCAAGAGAAGAATCCCATAGTACCCCTTTTTTGTTTTTTAAGATATATTTTAAGCATTTGATGAGCTTGTTTAATAAGGGACTAACCGGGTTGAGTTATAGGGAATGGCAGTCTTGTGTTGTATGTGGCAAAGTTGTAATGCATATGCAAATTGAGCACTAAGATAGCAAGGGTCATTATCAGTTTTTATAGTTTGTGGAAGGCCTAAAGTCATAATAGATTTAAACAAATGAGTAACTGCATCTTTACTTTTTTTTCTGGTCTGGGAGTTAGCAGGTATCAAGCCCATATAAGCGGATACTGAGTAACATCAATCTGCCAGATAGCATTAGGCACAAAGCCTTGTGGGTTGCCACCAAGTCGTAACAAAAAAGGAGAGAATGCCATTGGCAATTAAGACAACTTTTAATAATCTTGTGAGCTTGAGCAAGTGTTAAATGAAACTATTTTTTAAGACTGTGGGCTTTCTAATGAAAAGAACCGTGATTAGCTTGAGCTCTCAAAAATGGGTGATATAAAGAACAGAAGAGCTCTTGTGCTACAAGAAACAAAGTGAATAGGAGTTCATTAGTAATGAACTCCCTTCACATGTGCAAGATCTAAATGAGTAATACTATGCACTACATAAGCTGAATCACCAACTAGATTTATGTCTTGGTGAGAAAAAGTTTGTAAGGCCAATATTAGTGCTCCCAACTCCATTTATTTCATAGTTTTAAAATGCTCTTGGATTTTGTGTTGTCAATTTTGCATGGCATCTTCCCATACTATATAGTTGTGTTGTTTTTTCTGAACCATCTGTAAAGACACTAGTGGCGTGAAACAAAAGCTCAGAGACAACAGTAGATGCAAATTTAACAGGCACAGTTTGTAAAAAAATTCAGGAGCTTAGAGGCTGGTAAATGGAAGCTGATATTACTGAAAAAGTCAGCCATTGCTACTTACCAATCAAGATCACAAACTAAGAGTATGAAATTATTCCTTGCTCAAAGGTAGGAAAAGAGTAGCTGGGTTATATCTTGATAATTGGATGCAACGTTGGTGCCCTTTTACGAGAAGAGAAGCTATTAAATCTGTGTCTTGTATATGTTTAGAGTGGTTATGAGACAGGTACACAGTAAATAAAGAAGTGGCAAAAGATAAAGCTTACCTGTTAAAGGCAAGGAAGGGATGGATATTTTTAGTAAGTTTTACTATATTCTGGCCCTTGAAAGTTATTAGAATGTGACTACAAGTTGCCAGGATAATAAACCTGCATTGAGTTAGCTTAAGAGTGAAAAAAAAAAAAAAAAGAAAGAAAAAAGTCCAAAAAACTTTTTAAAAAGTCTCTGGGTGTTGGTCACTTTCCTGAAATAGCCTTTAGCTGGAATGTCAGAAGCGAGGTGGGGAAAGTAGGGCTGTGGCTGGTTTCTTTTCACCTGATGCAGGCTCTTTAGGCAGCCTCTTTTAATAGCCTGCCACCTGTTGCTGCCCTTACCCTAAGAGGAAGAAAGGAAGGAAGGAGAACTACAAGTAGCAGCGAGAGGCCAGAGAGTGACCAGGTGGTAAAGTGCGTGTGTAAGCGTGGAGGCAGGAGGTGAGAAGGTAACAGGCTGGGAGAAGACCACTCCTTTTATATTCCCAGCAACCTATGCCTGGAGCCGGCCCTGGAAGGTAAGGCACTGAAAATATACTGGGTTTTTAATTATTTTTACTACCCCCAAGCAGAGAGGCTCAGGGGAGGAGCAGACATGCAGCACAGGGTCTGTTTTGAAGTTTCCAGCCACAGTGCTTTTAAACAGTGTATAAAAAAGTGAAACAAACATTCCTTACTGCTGCGTCTATCTTCTGACGATGATGGCAGCTGTCAGAGCTCCTCCACCTCACCACTTGCAAAGCTTATAGATTTATAGCATTTAACATATGGCTATGGGAGTGCACCCCTTATTAGTGGGCTTCTCCTCCAGACCTCCGTACTCTAGGCTGCTCCACATTCCTCTGCCCACCTTAGGCTAATAAGGTTGGGGTGCACATGAACTATTTCCTAACCCTTTCCCCAGGGGGCCAGGGAAGGCAAGGAATTGCTTGTCAGCTGACATTGGGCACAGTTACTAAGGTACGTGACCATGGTGAGGAGGATTCTCGGGACTGGGCTGGAGCTGCCTGCAGCCACCTGGGGACTCGGCCTGTGCCTCTTAGTCTCCCCTTCATCATCAAAAACCCAGAAAAGGGAAACCTGCCCAGACTGCTAGTGACAAAATGTGCACTCCATGGCATCTCAGCAACTCTCCTTCCCCAGGCCTCTGTGGGCAGCAAGAAAGCCAGCGCTACGTCCGATAAAACCCAGGAGGCAGTATGCAATTTTCCTTTGTAATCCAGGGAAACAGAAAAAAGACAAGGCAGAAAGGCTGATGCTAGAAGTACGAAGTGAGAACTTGCATATTAGGAAGACAATTATAATCAGCCACTTTCTTTCCCTCCTGGAGGCATTTTCCAGCAGGGAAGTTTGTCAAGGAGATGTGGCCACCCAATCATAAAGATGTTTGCTGACAGGGGGTCTTATCCAGGAACCATCCCTTGGGCAGCCTCCAGGATCCTCAAGGGAGATGGCAGGTACTGCTGGCTGAATGCGGCCAAGGAATGAAGGTTCCTTTAAGGGTGGAGGAAAAGAGGGCAATAGCTTTTCTACAGGGGGAAGAAAAGCCTCTCATCTGTTCTTATCCTCACTAGAAAATTATCTTTCTTATTCCTCATAGAAGGAATGAAGAGGGGAGAGAAGTCTCTCCCTGTTGTGATTTCTGTTTTTCCTTCTCCTTTAAATCTCCTGAATTCCCTTCAGGTGGAGAAGATGGGTGGTCTGACTCACCACAATCTGGCAGATAGGATACAATGCAGAGCATACCAGTGCCCAGGTGGTTAAAATAGTAACATTAGTAATATGACCTTTCTCATATCCTCTTTTCAGGCAGTGACCTACCTGCTCCCATACCTCTAAGGTTCCTTGATCAGGAAATCAAGGGCATTCCTGCCAAATTAAGAGCATAAGCTTGCATAGAGCTCCAGGCTCTACAGTGCACTGGATAGGCTTAAGTAGCTATTGCGCTGTTTTAAAAAACACTTTCTGCTTTTTGGTCACTTCTTGACCCATGATAACCTAATCCCTGATATTCTACTTATATGTCTCATTCTCCTGATGGGAGTCAGGACTGTCCCTTACAGGGGTTGATGAGCTCTCCCCCTTCATGCGTAACTTCAAGGCGATCATGTCAGGGGCACCACTTGCAAAGCTTATAGATTGCAGTGAATGCCAAGAATAAAGTATGCAAACAATTCCACCTGAGTGGGGTTAATGGGTAGCTCCTCTGAGAGAGTCCGTCCCAGCATCCATCAGCCAAGTATTTATTGAAAGGGCTTGTATTAACTACAAACATCAAGTAGATGCCATTTGAGGTGGGTTGCTGAAGCACCTGTAACTTGTACACACTGAAACTGCATTCTCAGGAAGCTCTTTTCAGCATTCCTTATCACACCACACACTCCACTCCCTGTCCTGTTTTCAGGGTCAAGGAGTTTCATTCCCATGCACAAAAAACATACACACAGTGCCTCGGTATTTTTCTATGCCCCAACCTCAGATGCCATGTACATAAGCTTAAATGTGTTGCCATGCGCCCCCCACACAGCTAAGAACCACAGTGATGGCTGTTGTCTCTCTCCCGGGGAGCTCAGTTTCTTTAGGTGCCAGGCAGCTGGGGTGATGATGGCCACCCTCCCTTGAAGAGCTCAGTTGTCTTAGGCATTTACTAAGCTGCCACCCTTTCCCCCACGAGCGCTTAGTGTCTTTGGCAACTAGGAGCCACAGTAATGGCTGCCGTTCTTCCCACAAAGAACTCAGATGGCTCATACAGCAGGCAGTCCCAGCGCGCCACCATGCCCAGCTAAGTTTTGTATTTTTAGTAGAGACGGGGTTTCTCCACGTTGACTGGGATGATCTTGATCTCTTGACCTCGTGATCCATCTGCCTCGGCCTCCCAAAGTGCTGGGATTACAGGCGTGAGCCACAGTGCCTGGCCACCACACTGCTTTTCTTTGCTTTCCATGGGTTATGCCAATCACCTAGTCAGTCTTGATGATAGAACCTGTATACCTTGGTTGCCATTACAGGATTTGAACACTGTTTTGGTTCTTTTCGGTGGAAGCCTCTGACTGCTGCCGCTTCTAGTTGGCCATCTTGGCCCTACCACTCCTATTAAATTTCATTAGGAAAAATGAAGGGTAATCTAGTGAATCCAAAAGAACATGTATAGGTTCCAGGACAGTGTGCAAAAGCCCAGCAGTCACAAAAGGTGAGACTGCAGACTGTAGAGTGTGTGCTTTTGTAACCACAAGTGTGGGCAGCCAAGAACACAGATGGAGTTTGGTCAATTGTATTACAGCATAAGGAATCACTAGGACTGAGCTGTGCAGACTTTCCTCCTAGTTGCCTCATTATAGGCCCCCTCCATATGTTAAGGATACTAGGGTGAAAAAAAAAAAGACTTATTCAAACAAAGTAAATATTAAAAGCAAATCTATTTGTCCCATAAGGAGTTTCATTTTGGAGAAGGTGGTTTGGGGAGAAGGTTAGAAAAAGTTGTGTAACTTATAAATGTGATTTAAAAAAATGAAATTTAGGTTGCATTTTAAATAAGACTGTTCTTAGTTCACTTGCTTGGACATTTCTTATATACCTTTATGTAAATTCCTTTGTATCTCCCACTGTCTTAGTTGTGTCTTTGTTAAAGGAATCTAGCCTAACACGAGCACCATGTTTCTGGAATCCTGGTGCTCCTTGGAGATTGCCCATTAATTTGAGTTTTCCCTTCTGTGTTACAGTGAAGGTGCTTGGGCTTTATCAATGTGTGGAACTCAAGCCATCATTGAAAATTTTTAATCTTGTTCAATGGAAGTATTATTTCAAAAACCACTCTTTTGGATATAAGGCAATATGTATTGAAAGATTTTCTCTTCTCCTCCAGATGTGGTAAAAGCACAGTGACAATACTATCCTCTTTATGCAATGTTTTTCTCAATTGAGTTTATATTCACAAGTGATTAACATCCTTCTCCATCCACCCATCTTTATTCAGATAACCCTGATTATCTGCATGGCTGGATTGGAATACTAAGCACTGTTTTGTGTGCATAATCTCTTCTGGAATTACTGCTAAAAAGCCTGTAAATTAGGTTATTTTATAAATTCTTTGGGGCCACAGGCCAATGAAAATATGGAAATACTGATTATATTGTTAACTTTTTGGATCATTTACATTTGAAGAACATGAGAAACTTAATACTGAACTAATTCAACTTCTAAGACTGGAAAAAACAAAACAAAACAAACAAAAAAACATACTTAATTGAGAAAGAGGCCAAGTCAAATCACATCCAAGCAGTAGGAACTTCTCTGGTTAAGGATGAGCAAAATGAAAAACTGGGAGGAAGTTCTTCGGACTTTGTGCTTTTAACTCTAAAAGTAAGAAAATTAAATTTTGAAGTTCAATTACTTTGGAATTGAATGTTTTCGGACTTCAACTTGCAAGGAAATTTAATCTCTGATCTTTTCTCTCTGGGAATTTGGTAATAGAAAGGGGTTTATATTCAATTCTGTTGCATCTCTATGTTGGCATTTCATTATTGGAGTATCTTCATGTTGTCATTTAATCTCATTGCAGGATCTATGATGTGCTATTTTGGGTAATGTTGCTGGATGTAACTTGGAAACCAATATAAAGAAAAGGATGAGTTTGGTTTTCAGCTTTGGGTGCAGAGTGGAATTGATTTAATTAACGCTTCTTTCTGAGAAACTTCAGAATTTGCTAGAGTAAAATCTCGTGTCTGCAAGTTGTCCCAGGATAATACATAATATATAAAAGAGCAGTGGCCAATCTTAGAAGAGTGATTTTGTTAAGATAGGAGTAAGACCCTCCTCTGATGATTTCTCTCTTCCCCTAAGAGGGAAATTCTCAGCCCTAGTTGACAACAAGATTAATAACTAAGTTCAATAGTTAAGAGAACAAAAAACTGGTGAATATTAGCACTGAACACTCCTTCTCAACTTCTAATGTTTTCTTTTTTCTTCCCATGAGGAAGGAGACCAAATAGTGTAATCCCTAGTCTTCTTCCTTTACACATTCTACTTCAGGACAGGGAAGAAGAGTTATTTATATAGTTTAGATACAAGTCGTTTGTCTTATATGTGATTTGCAGATGTTTTTCTCCCACTTTTTAGTTTGTCTTTTCATTTTTTTAACAGTAATTTTCACAGAGCAAAAATTTCTAATTTTGATAAAATCTAATTTTTAGTTGTTTTCCTTTGTGGGTCATGCTCCTGTTGTGATGTTTAGAGGCTTTTCACAGATCC